CTCACAGATTTGAACTAAAAGAAATAAGAGACTGCAGGGCTTCAGTTGGAAAGGTTTCAGACCACGTCTCTTTCTAAGCGGTGCAGAGCCTTTCCTGACTTCCTGTTGACAATTGTTTTACTCACCATCGAGATTAGACGTCCCTCTCATACATGACATTGCTACAGGCTTACTGACCTCAAGATTCCAGGGTTCATCACCATCCGTGGAACAAAGGAATTCATGTTTAGACCAGAAGAAGTCAGAAAGAAGATGGCAGGCAGGGTAGCGGCATGTTTGGAACTGGGGAACGTGAACTCATGTCTACTTGGAGAAAACACTTAAGAGACAAAGCTCCAACAGAATCATAGTTGTAATCTCTTGCCACCTGGGATATTCTATTATAAATTTTTCTTATATATTTTTACAAAGGACCTTCTCTTATAGAACACACAATCCACTGAAGTGGGATTTACGATCTGGGACATATGGGCAGAGGCTATAAACCTCCCTAAAACTACGGAAGTCATACCAAACAGTTGCTGCAGATAACTACACTTTTTTTTTTTTTTTTTTTTGAGTTGGAGTCTCACTCTTGTCACCCAGGCTGGAGTGCGTGGCACACTCATGGCCATCACAGTCTTGGCCCGCTGGGCTCAGATAATCCTTCCGCCTGTCTTCCAAGTAGCTGAAACTACAGGTGCATGCAGCCATGCCTGGCTAACTTTTTGATTTATTGTAGAGATGAGGTCTCGCCAAGTTGCCCAGGTGGGTCTCGAACCCCTGGGCTCAGGCAATCCCCTTGCTTCTGCCTCCCAGAGTGCTGGGATTATAGGCGTGAGCCACCACGCCTGGCCACCTGCTCCATCTTTGAAGAAACATTATAGCTGAACAATAACTTAGTCCCACTATGTGACTTTCAGAGATTATCAGGGCTTGGATGCCAGAGATTTAGGATTCAATTGCAACTAAGTTCACAGTTTCAAAGGTGGCATCCTACCCTGCTCTCAAGCAACATCAAACTTTGAACTCCTAATTTATAGTCAAAGGCTACTCAGGTTCATGTCAAATTCTTTAAGGTTCTCATGCCACAGCATACTATCTCTCTTTGAGGAGTATGCCAGGTCAGATAACATCCGTGAGGTTATTGTAAACCCTGATTCCATATCATTTAAGGCAGTAATAATGCACAGATTTAGAAGCCTTGGTACACCTTAAATAAATTAAACTCAGATAGAAAAGATGCGGGTTTTTAACTTCTTTCCATTCTCTTGAGCTAATACTGTCACGTGACCAGTAACACAACACAATACTGTCACGTGACCAGTAGCACAACAAACATGAACATTCGAAGTCTCCAGTGGGTCATGTCTACTGTCTTTGATCTACACAAAGTTCTTATTTAAGACTCTGACCTGATATTCTCTTTTGTATTTTTAAAGTTTACTTTTGAGGTAATTAGATGCTCTGATACACTGAACCAGCTAAAGCTATTCTCACATTTTAATCACAAAAAAAGGAACAGATTTGAACTCTATGTCGAAAGCTCGTTTAAACAAGGACACACGGACACTCATTATTTTTCTCATATGAGGTGCTTAGTCTTTAGCCATTCAGAAGGCTCCAAAGACCTGTTCTACTACATTTGCATGATTATGTGGAATTACTGTGTATTGAAGGTGAAAACAATTTTTAAAAAAGGAAATTCAGGGGCAGGATTGCTTAAGGCCAGGAATTCAAGACCAGCCAAGGGAACATACCAAGACTTCATCTCTACAAAAAAACCAAAAAATTAGTTGGGTATGGTGGCACATGCCTGTAGCAACTGTAATCCCAGCTGCTCAGGAGGCTGAGGTGGAAGGATCGCTTAAGCCCAGAAGTTGGAGGTTGCAGTGGGCCACGATCGTGCTACTGTACTCCAGCCTGGGCAACGGAGTGAGATTTTGACTCCAGAAAAAAAAAGAACAGAAAAAACAAAATTCAAGTCAGGCATGGTACCTAGGTACCTATAATCCCAGCAATTTGGCAGACCGAGGTAGGAGGATCACTTGAGGTCAGGAGTTTGAAACCAGCCTCCAAAATATAGCAAGATTCCTTACCTACAAAAAACTTTTTTAAAATTCAGCGCCTGTAGTCCTAGCTACTTGAGAGCTGAGGCACAAGGATCAAGAGGATCCCTTGAGCTCAGGAGTTGGAGGTTACAGTGAGCTATGATTGTATCACCACACTCCAGTCTGGGCAACAGAGTGAGACCCTGTCTCGAAAAAAAAAAGGAAATGTAATACTATAATTATGTATCTAGCTCAACCATGTACAATTTGCATTGCGATTTTTCAGCTTCTGAGTCTGGAAAAACATTCTTCTTTTTTGAGTCGGAGTATCACCCTGTCGACCAGGCTAGAGTACAGTGGCATGCTCACAGCCACCGCAGCCTCAACCTGCTGGGCTCAGGTGATCCTTTCGCCTCAGCCTTCCAAATAGCTGGAACCACAAGCATGTGCCACTATGCCCAGCTGATTTTCTGATTTATTTGTAGAGACAAGGTGTCGCCATGTTGCTCAGACTGGTCTTGAACCCCTGAGCTCAGGTAATCCTCTCACCTCCGCCCCCAAAGTGCTGAGATTACAGGCATGAGCCACTGCGCCCAGCTTGTAAAACATTCATTTTTAAATAAAAGGACTTAATTGTGATTTTAAAATGTATGATACTATATCATTGAAAAGCAAACTAACATCCATAATACTGATGAATAAGAGAAAGTACAGCACGTCGCAGGGTATCGGGGTACTTGTGGCTATCTTCATGTATCAATAACATCTTCGCATATACATCTAAAAAAACAAGACAACTGCTATGAGATAAACATGTTTATTATCATCTTAGGTTTGTATACACATTTTAGTATGTATCTATTAAAATGTTACAAAAAAGTCTATTACATTCTGATGGTAGCAGACTGATTGCTTGCTTGAAAATATCGACTTTGTGTATGTCAAAATACATCATGCTCAACTATGTAACTGACAGCAAAATACTTGCATATCACACCTTAAAGCCCTGTCAAGAGTTGCCAGCTGGCACAAAGATTGCATTTATCTCACAATGAAAATAACTCTGGCAGTTTTGAAGGCTAACACTATGTAGGTTAGTTTCTAAAAACGAAAGAGAGGCTTCAGGTAAAAAGTCAGAAATGTATAAAACACCCTCAGAAAGGTTTTTTAAAAAGAATACATTATAAAATCAAACAATCCTTCTTTTAAAAAGCTTTTCACATCAATTTCTTCTGTTCAAAAAGACTGAGGTGACTCAGGTATTTTAAAATATTTTAGAAACTCTTCCTCAAAAACGTTCAAGACGGTATCTTTCAGATGTTCCCTCGATCCCACTAGCTCAGATAAAGCAAGTCTTATGAGGACTTACCACCAATCCCAGTTTTCTTGGGATTGGTGTCTCAACCATGTCCATGTCTATTCTTTTTTTTCTTTCCATCTCAATAGCTTTAGGGGAAACAACTGGTTTTTGGTCTGGGCTTCAAGTGTATCCACCCCCCCCACCTGTGCACACTGTACCTGACAGACGATTTTCTGGTCCTCCGCCCCTTTCTCCCCTCCCCCTTCTGAGTCTCCAGGGTCCAAGATACCATTTCTCACTCTTTTTATACCTGGTGCTTAGAAGTAGGCACTTCTGGCTGGGCACGGAGGTTCACTCCTATTATCCCAGCACCTGGGAAGGCTGAGTTTGAGACCAGCCTAGACAACATAGCAAAACTCCACCTCCACATAAATTTTTTAAAAATTACCCAGGTTTGGTGGCACACGCCTGTAGTCTTAGCTACTCCAGAGGCTAAGGCAGAAGGATCGCTCAAGCCCAGGAGTCCGAGCCTGCAGTGAGCTATGATTGTGCCACTGTACTCCAGCCTGGGCAACAGAGCAAGACCCTGCCACAACAACAACAACAACAACAGAGAGAAACAGGTACTCTTCAACAAATGTTCATTGAACTCAACTGCTGAAGTTGTAACAATTAAAATATCAACACAACTCTTGATAAATCAACAGTCCTATGAGGGACTGTGGGAAATAAACACTTTTAAGTTTACACAAGTGTTCATAAACACATTACATGTGGTAGTTTATCATAATGCCCCAGCTCTTAGGAGTGCTGTTACAGAGAAGGCAATTAAAAGGGAACAATTTCCTGAGTAGTTCACACAATATGGAGAATTTTTTAAGATTGAAAAGCAGTCCAAAAAATTTTAAAGGCATGCTAAACATTAGCTATACTCAATCTTACCTAGTGTGGCATAACCACGTGGTGATAGTAATTAATAGTACCACATGGTTTTTTTAAAGGTCCCATATTAAAGCCTGCTTTTAAAATTAAGTCACTAAAGAGAAAACATTTTCAATTTGTATGTTAAACCGTTATATTTTTAAACGTTTATTAATAGCCAAAAGTTGGTACTTGAGGAAAAGGCTGTAAGGCATGTTAACAAAAATACTTTCCACAAAAAAACAAGGCTACCTCAAAAACAGGTCTACCTAGAGCTCAAGTTTAGGTCAATATTTTTTTAAACTTTGCCCTAAGTCAGTCTACCCTTTTTAAAAAATGAGACAGATTTTCTTACATGTACCTGAAGCAAAATAATAGTATCTCTTTTCTTTTCCAGGTTGTACAAGAGATAGCTACAACCACAAAATTAAACTCATCTTAGGATCATGATCTGCCACAAAACTATTTTAAACTTTGTGATTCCAGGCAAAGAAGTAATATTTACTTATTCAGAAAGTACTGAATATCCACAGGTAAGCTACTATGCTACACAGTACAAGAATTTAAAGGACAGACACAGTGGCTTTCGCTTTGTGAGACTGTGGCAGGAGGGTCTCTTGAGGCCAGGAGTTCAAGACCAGCCCGGGCAGCATAGCAAGACCTCACTTTTACAAAAAAATTTTTAAAATCCAGCCAGGTGTGGTGGCATGAACCCAAGAGTTCGAGGCTGCAGTAAGCCATGATGGTGCCACTGCATTCCAACCTGGGCAACAGAGCAAGAGCAAGAGCCTACCTCCAAAAAAGGACAAAAGAATTTAAAAATACCCAAATACATGCATATTAAAAAGACACTGGCTCCATATATACAATCTAGTAGAGGCATAATGTTCACGTGTGTGTAGGTGTATAATTATGTATATAGTGGTTTGGAGAACAAGTGAATCACCCTATAGCACAAAACTTTTTTGGGGTGTCAATTCTAACGGTTTGAAATCTCTTGGGCTTTATAGACAATATATGTTTACAAAATATTATCACTGACGTCATCCAGCCTGTTTAAGAAATGACATCATGTACCAGCTCCTGAAATAGCATCATTCCATCAAGTTTAGATGCGCAAGATTCACTCTCGATATGAGGTGATGCGTCTTCCCACATCCCGGCCTCACTTATCAGGTAAGGAACCTGGCCACGAGATTTAAAAACAAGCATGTCCTCCCCTTCATTAAAAAAACATTAAAGACAAAAACCATCTTCTTAACAGTTCATAAATGGCTCCTGAATCTTCCTTTTATTCTACTGAATTTAAAAACTGCTCTTCTTGAAGTTTCGACTTAAAGTCCTCTCTGATTCTTTCCAGCAACTCTGGCTTAAAAACCACATCCAGCGCGGTCATTGCCAGAGCCTTGGCAGTCCTCAAGGTGTAGAACTGAGCTTCCTGGGACCCTGCAGGGTGGAGAAAACAGGTAAAACACCTCCACGTTGACGAAGACTCGAGCTGCTCCTTTCTCAGGCTCAGGGTGGCACCA